CTTTTCTTCTTGAGTCAAATTCATACTACTCTTAGGGGGCTCTGCGACAGGCTAGGTTTAAGCTTTCATGATTTGAGTGTTTGTCTCCCCGGAGTTTGAAATTGCTGTATCCTCTTGGACCATGAAGAACCAGATGGAAACCTGAATTTTATAGTCTCTGTTACCATGGTCAGCAAAAAAAAAATGGTAAGTTCAGGAGCTGGGTAAGCTGGTAAGCTGGTAAGTTCAGGAGCTGGGTAAGCTTTTAGAGAAAGGAAGGAGGGGTGCACCCCTTCCCCTCCTTTCAGGCAGCTCTCTCACTTTCCGTCTGTCTTCATTTCTTAGTGTAGTTATTCCAGGCTTTGCAGGCAAGACACAGATCATTCAGATTGGCAATATCTAACTTGATGAGTCCATTACCTCTTTCTACTTTGTGCCCGGAACTGTACCAGGCTCTGGGGATTCAGAGGCAAACTAGACAGACAGGATCCCCGCCTCCACAGTGTCTAGGTGGAGAGCAGAGAGTTAAACAAGCAGTTACAATAACGTGGGATGATGGGGCAGTACCAGGCGCCAGGGGAGCACAGAGCTGAGAGACCTAATCTTGTCTAGACAGAGATCTATGTAGGCAGAGGGAACAGCACATGTCAAGGTCCAGAGATGACTGAGGACAGCACGCTGAGTGATGAGAGACAGTGCATGTGGTTGGAATGTGGAGTGCGAGCGGGAGAGACAGTGGGAAGCAAGGGTTTCACGTGAGGCTGTGTCGAGCCAGGTTTGCCTAACAGGGAATTCTTAATTTGAGAAACCCTCTGCTCTGTAAGATGGAGAAAAGGCTGCTGCGTGTTTATTCTGCAGAGAAAAATCCCTGACTTTGATGCCTTCTGGAATTTGTCTTCTTTTCTGTCTGAATATTTTTTCCCTGTCACCAGAACTCAACAGAATCTATTTAGACTCTTCACATGTGGTCCGTTAAGCCCTCTGTAAGACTAGATCATTTTGTCGTTGTCCTGAATAGTTTAGGGGAATAGAATGTATCAGTGCAGCCTCCACATGATCCTGTGTTAGGGGAGTGTGGCCAGTTGTCTGCTGTTCTCATTTTTCTGTTGGTTCTGTGGAAAGCTACAAATCACCCTCTGATCCAAGGCATGCAACTGGAATTTAAATTTTGGAACTGGATCTAGTCGGAATCAAAGAGAATTAATCCCATAGTAGTTAAGTGGGTATTGGTATTCCCTCTCAGTAAGCAATACTGGGGCTTGGTGCTGAGACAGGAGGCCTGGAGGGAATGATGTGTCTCCAGGGGTGGCCATAGTTTCCGGTGGATGGTCCTTCCATGACCAAGCTATGCCTCACCTCTAATGGGTCAACCATGGGGCTTCCATGAACTCAGGAAAGTACTCTGTGCTCTAAAAAGGGCTGGAATCCAAGTTTCCCCCTTTGGCTAAAGCTGAAACAAAAACAGGAACTTCTCCACCCACCTCTGTCTGCCTCAGGTAGCTGAGGTTTTGGAAATTAGTTAATTGTTTTTCAGTCTTTGGAAGATCCTGATCTCCATTTTACCCGGCCCTCTCCAAAATAAAAACACCTGGTCCTGCTGCAGGTCTTCCGAGGCACAGCGCTGGACTTGGCTTTGGCTGGCCTCTGACTGCCTGAGAGACGACTTGGATACCCTTGCCCCCAAATAGCACAGACATCCAATAGAATGTCCTCGTATGGGCCCTGTGATGGGCAGAGCCCCGGGCTGGGGCGTGAAATTCTCATAGCTTAATCCTCAGCCCCTAGAACAGAGCCTGGCAAATGGTGGGAACTCAACAGGTTAATATGTTTGTGGAGTAAAATGAGCGTGCCTCACACTGCTCCAGTTTGCAAGCCAGGTGTCACTCTTCTCTCTCCCTTGACCTTCAACCCAGACCGCAGGGCTTCTTCCTGAGATTTTGCAGTTCGATTCCACCAGTTTTTTGAACTATGTGGGCGGGGGTGGGGGGAGGCTGGTTTACAAAGGTAAAGAAGATAAGACCTACCAACTACTAAGTACTGAGTAGTTAAAAGGTTGTGGACCTGCCTTCAAATGCTGCCTTCTCCATTTCCTTCTGATAGTTGGAAGTCACTTAGCCTCTATCAACCTCAGCTCCTCATTATAAATGGGTAATAGTATCTATGTCAAAGGACTGTGGTGAAAATGAAACAACACACTGTACTTAGCACAATGTCTGGCACCTAGTAAGCATTCAATACAAGATACTACTACTAATAATAACTATAATAGTCATTGAACGCATGCCAGGCACTATTCTAGGCACGGAGGATAGAGGAGTGAATAAGAAAAGGACAATCCTACGATATACATGTAAACTTTAAAGAGAACAATTCAAGTAATGACAAGTGTTATGAAAGAATGAGACATAGTGATACCATAGATGACTAAAATGTGTGTAGGGGCAATGCTACTGTATTTGTGGTGTCAAAGAATGTCCCCCTCCCGCACGCAAGGAGGGGATATTTGAACTGAGACCTGGATGGCAAGGAGAAGCTAGCCAGTGAAGAGCCAAGGGAAGGGCATTCCAGACAGAAGGAAGAGCTAATCCAAAATCTAGAGGTGGGAATGAGCTTGGTACGTTCCAGGGGTGGAGACCAGGCCAGCATGGTTGGAGTGACCTGAGGACTGCTGTGGCAGGAAGTGGGGCTGCAGACGCAGGCAGGGTCTTGGTTATGTAGGGCCATGAAGGTCATAAGGATGAGTTTAGATGTTCTTATGAGTTATTGGAAGCCTCTGAAGGAGTTTAAGTCCAGGAGTGACATTATCTGATTTATATTTAAGACAATCGTTCTGGCTGCCCTGTGAAAAATAGAATGTGGGGGAAAGAGTGAAAGCAGGGACGTGGATCAGGAAGCTATGGTCATGATCCAGGCCACAGATGACGGTGTCTTGGACTAGGGTGACAGTGCAAACCTGGAGAAAAGAGCAGATATGGGTCTATTTTTGAACTAGAGCACAGGGAAGTGGGAGAGTATGTGGAGAAACAGAGGCCACACAAGAATGATCCTAGGTTTCTGGCCTGAGAGGCTGGGTGGATTTTTGGAGATGAAGGAGAGGAACAGGTTTTAGGAAACATATCAAAGAGAACTCGTGTACAGGCAGGCTAGAATATAGCACAGTGACAGTACCAAGGGCACTGGGAGGCAGGCGAGAGCGTGGCTAACTCTGGAGCTGCGGGGAATGTGGGGCGGCTAGATGCAGGATGGGATTGGAACTGACCTTTGAAGGACTGGACTTGGGAGGGCTGCTGGTTCCGGGAAAGGAGTGGTTTGAGCATAAGTCTGGGCATGAACAGGTGCCATAAGCTCATTTTTTCGGACCTCTTTACATATTGGTTTCTGACAGCTGAGGAAACTGAGACTCAGAAGTTCAATCACTTGCCCAAGGTCATAGAGTTAGCAAGGGGTAAAATCAAGATCCCCATTCCAAAGAAAGGGGGCTGAATGGTGGAACTGAACACAGGAGCACAGAGCAGCAGACAGACAGGGACTGTAACACAGGATTGAAAAAGTGAAGGGTGGGCCAAATTGTGAAGGGCCTGGGGTGACGACGCAGAGGCTGGGCCTTATTTTGCAGGTGGAGATGAAGAGGAGCCATTGTAGGCTCTCCCGTGGGCAAGCAGCATGATCAGCACTGTGATTCTGGAAAGTGCCTGGTGTTGCCTGAAAAAAAGGCACAGCTTGAGAGTTGTGAGTTAAGTTTTATTCGGGGCAAAATGAGGACTACAGCCCAGGAGACAGCATTTCAGATAGATCTGAAAAACTGCTCCAAAGAGATTGGGGGGAAGATCAGTATACATGTGATTTTGGTGAAGGGGGAGTACACACGGTCAAGCACATGTTTTTTGCAGAAGGTTACTGCTAGTCATGAGGGGAAGATGTCACCATGGAGGATTTTCCTGCTTTTCTAGATACGAGGAGATGAAGAATTGGGCTCATAAAATCGTCTCCTCTATCTGAAAACCCGTTCTGCCAGTTTTTCCCAGAGCACAGAGTGCCTCATTCCTGATCTCCACTCTGAACTCCTTTCAGGGGGTGTTGAAGGTCAGCAGCTACAGCAGCTCTTAATCTGATCCTTGTAGAGGTAGTTGGCAAGTGCCAATCTGTAGGTGACACTGGCGAGATGGTTAGATGGGCCAGAATGGAAAGCACCTCATAATACTATTAATTAATTTTTTAAAAATACAGGTCCTGGAGATATAATGACAAGCAAAACCTGACACAATCTGTGCCCGCATGTAAGAACTAACAAATTAAATGAGCATGCAAACAAGTGGAGAGCCTGAACCATGAACAGGCAAGTACATGACTATGAGGTCACTTAGTCACCAGGATTTTACTTACTTTGGCACCAGTCCTCAAGACTTCCCTGATGAGAACTGGGACATTCACTGACCCCAGTTCTAGGTTACACTCTGCCCCTAACCCATACTGAACTAGGGCAAGTCACTGCTTCTCTGGACCTCAGTTTCCCCATTTATGAAAGAAGGGGCTCTAGATGATCTAATTTCCCTCCCATTCTGACGGTTTGGAATTTTCCTGTCCAAACACCATAGATCCCACTCCAAAGCTGCTAACTGACACGTGGTGCCTGACATTAGAACGCAGTAACTTCTCGCCCTTGCCTCTAGCCTTCCCCGGAGGCCTCCATCTGTTCCCCGTCGTCACGGTAACCGCATGGGCCTTCCTCAGCTGGAAACTTTGAGTGACGACAGCAATTACGCCACTATCATGCGTCCCATATGCCAGGTTAAAACATGGCCACCGCTGCAACACACCACCCAAGCTTCGCCCTAAATACCCGGGCCCGACCAGCCCTAGAGCCTATTCTAGGGCAGGAAAGAGAGGAACAGGTGCGCCAGTACAGCGAAGAAGATTTCTGAGAACGTCTCCGGATCCTTAGCTTCTCCGGCGTCTCTGGGAGGCACCAAATCGCCGCCCTATAGCGTCACTTCCGTCGACCCATGCGCCTAGGATTGATAGTTGCGGACATCCAATCAGAATAGGTCCCGCCTCCACGCCCAGGAGGAGGCGGGTTTGAGACGGAAAGTCCCGCCCCACGGCGACGTGAGACGTCAGAATCGCCATGGCCAGCTACCCCTACGGGCAGGTGAGTGTGTGAGGGGCGGGCGAATCCAAGTGGGTGCCTCGCCAAGTCCAGGCCCGGGATCCCCTGCTTCTCTTTCTCCCCGCCTCCTCCGCGCCTTTCCCACGCTGAGGTTGGCTTCAACGAGGTTTCGCGCAGGAGAGAAGGGAAAAGGGATGGTCGGTCGCGCCTGGCTCACGTCACGCAGGACTGCACGTCTGGGAGGTCGTGTCGCGCCCCCTTTGACGTCGTGCACGGGAAGATTTGGGGTTCTTGGACCCCACAGAGTCAGACTGGGCTTGGCCTGGGCCCCATATTTTCCCAGGATCCCGCTGGGGCCACAGGCGGGGTCATCAACGCCAACAGAACGTTTAGAGCACTGGTTCTGTCGGTATCTTTTGGGGAGTTGATAAAAGTACACCCTTGACGTACTGCATCTGAATAATCAGGAGAACCTGTGGGTTTAGCAGGCTGCGCAAACGAGCTTGTTCGACTACTGACTGAGTCCAACACTTCCATTTCACACACAGGAAAGCGAAACCCAAGGAGACATGGAATTTATTTGAAGTCACCAGGCAGTTAGGCAGCAGAGCCCGGAGCTGTCAGCAAATGCCTTTTCCCCACTTGCCAGCCCATCTTGATCCAGGCAAGAACACCACAGCAAGGCGATTCTGTGGCCAGAATCCGTTGTTGGCTAACAAGAGCGTTAGAGTAGTGAAGTGCAGTCTGGAGTCAGAGGAAGGTTCACACCTTGGCTCCATCACTTAAATAGTTTTGAGCCATTGAGCCCTTTCTGAGCTGAAGTTTCCTCCTCTGTAAAATAGGGCCAAATAATAGGATCTACTTCATAGAGCTGTTATGAAGAGTAATGGAGTGATGCTTGTAAAGCGTTTGGTACTATGAAGAGTGTGACAGGTGTTACCTTTTAGTACTTTGATTTTTACTAGATTCCTTGAAGGCCAGTGCTGGAAGGGCCCTCAGAAGAGTCCCTTCGTTTTAGCTCAGAGAGGGCTCCTGAGTTGCCTAAGATCACACTAATTTAGGAGATAAAACCCATGCAGGAAAAATTGGAAAACAAGGTCCCATGGGATATTGCTAAGCGCTGGGCTGAGTGTAATCACATATCAGAAGATGTGGCAAGAGCCCTCGTAGGGAGTGCAGCCCTGTACAGTTTTTGCACACAGTATTTGGACATCCGTTATCTCAATCATGAAGGCTCTGTAAGCAGGCTAGCAGGGATTATTCCCCCAATTTATAGCTGAGGAATAAGCCCAAAGAGGTTAAGTGGCTTGCCCAAGGTCACACATGGCAAGTGAGGGAGTGCCCATGCTAGAACTTAGAATTTCTGTCATTGCATACTTAGCAGAGGCAGGAAGGAGAGAGGCCAGCCTGGGCTGGGGTTAGGAGGAAGTATAACCTAGCAGTGTTTCCCAAGCTCAGCTGCATTTGCTGAGGCTTGTGAATGTTAGTAAGTATTGCTAATAAAGGAGTATTCTGTGGTTAAATAACTTTGGGAAATACACTGTTAAATACAGCTTAATGAGTTTTGTTAACCTGTTAACCACAGGCCATCTCAGAATTCTTAATTTGTTAATAGACATTGTAAATTTGCCAGAGAGGCAAAATTTGCCAGAGAGGGATAGAATATGAAGTGTTTCTTAAACTTACTTAACTATGGAACCCCCCACCCCACTTATATGACATAAGTCTGGTCATATGTTGGTGACACTGGTATTCTTGAGGAACACAGTTTGGGAAAACATTGCCATAGTACTTTGTTTCTCAGTGGATGGTCTACATCAGAATCACCTAGGAGCTTGTTAAAAAAGCACATTTTGGGGTTCCACCTCAGACCTGTTCTGTACCCAGGAAAGGCCCATGCATCTACATTTTAATAAGCTTTTGGAGACAATTTGTATGCATCCTAGAAGCAGTGACTTGGAAATTAAGAGCCTGAACTTCCAGGTTAGACAGAACTGGGCTAGAATCCTAATTCTATTTAATAGTTATACACCCTTGGACAAATCATCTAAGGGCTCTGAGCCTCGGTTTCTTCACTTGTAAAGAGGGAGGAATAGTACTTCATAGGGCTGAAAAGAGGATGAAATATGATAAAGCCTGTAGGGAGCTTGGCGCATTGCTGATACCTAGTGTGTGCCAGAGCGTGGTGGCATAGCTCTTGCTGCTGGGGTCACTGTTATCATGCCGTGCTGCCTGGGCTTATGCTCAGTGAAATGTTGAAAAGGAGCACAGAGAGGAATGTGTCTCTAGTAGAGGAAGAAATGCTTGTCTCCCATCATACCTTCTTCGTTCCTCCTATCCAGCTCCTGGTCCACAGTGTTCCAAGAAAGGAAGTGGCTTGTCTGAAAGCATCCAAAGGCTTAGTCAGTGCTGCCTCCCCTCCACCCAGTACATAGCCCTGGAGGATTCCAGCCTCTTGTTAGGAGTCAAAACTCCTGTAATTTTCTGCTGCATCCTGCCCCAGGGTCCTCAAGCATGGACTGGGTGTTGGAGGAGTAAAACTCAAGTACCCTTTGTTCCTGTGGGGGAGCCAGCCTGATGGATTTCAGTGCTTAAGAGCTTGGTCTCTGAGGCCAGCGAGATTTGGCTTCAAATCCTTGCTCTGCCATTTCCTTGCAGAAATTTCTTGCAGAAGTCTGAGGCTCAGTTTCCCCCTTTTTAAAAATGGGGTGATAAGAGTACCTACCTCAAGGGTTACTGCAAAGATTAAATGAGATAATCCACATAAAGTGCTTGATATGGTGTTTTGGCATATAGTAAATACTCCAAGGGGAAGAGTGATACAGACACGTACATTGTAGAATCTGTGCGATGAGTATTAAATGGGAGTAAGTGTCAGGCTAGCACAGGAGGGACCCCTAACTTAGTCTTGAGGGAAGGAAGTCTTGTTAAAGGAGGTGACATTTAAGCCAAAAACCGAATCTCCAGTAGGAGTTAGCTGGGTGAAGAAAGGCATGGTATTCCAGTGGAGGGAATAGTATTCACAAAGCCCAGGAAGCAAGTAAGAGAGCCCAGTATTTTGGAAGAATTTAAGGAGATCAGTCTAGTTGTAGTGAAGAGGAGCGGGGGAAAGGGTAACAAGACCAGAAAGGCAAGCAAGGACCAGATCCTAAAGGGCATTATGTGCCTTTTTGAGGAGTGTGGACTTCATCCTGAGAGTTGTTGGGGAGCTCCTGAAGAGTTTTCTCCCATTCGTGCTTTGAGCTGTGACCGTGGGGCACTGTCACGGGGTGTTGAAGCAGGAGAGACAAGGCAGGAAGACCAGTTTCAAAGCTGTTGAAGTAATCTAGGTGAGAGAACAGTGACCTGGTGAACATGGAGCTGGGAGGTGGAAGTGAGAAAACTTGGTGCCTAATTGAGGTGACGGAGGAAAGGAAAGAGGAGGTGTCCAGGAGGGCATCAGGGTTTCCCTTCACTGCAGTGGGAACACAGAAGGAGGAATAGATTTGGAAGGTCCAGGAGGTTGTTGGATATGAGGTCTGCAGCTCATGAGAGATGAAGCTGGAGAGAAAGATTTTGGAGTGTCAGCACAGAGGTGGTAATTGAAGTCTTGGGACAGTTCTTGGCTCGCTGTTTATTGGCTGCAGATTTCTGGCCTTGAAATATTTTAAGAGGTTCTGCTGGTGAATGCCCAGACCACTCCTTCTGTAGTCTTGTGATTGTTTAACCCCTTAGAATGGGCTCTAACCTCCTCCAGCGGGCTGGGGGCTAGCTCCAGAGCACAGGCTTGTGTTTGAAACACAGGCTTGTGTTTCCCCTCAGTACTCAGCATGGACCAAACTTTGACACCTCTGGGCTTCACAAGGGTCTTGGGGTAGAAGAATGAGCCCTCAGAGCCAAAAGAAAATGTAAGACTTTCTGAGTGGGTTATTTGGGAGGGGGTGAACTCCCCACCACTTGCGGGAAGGTAAACAGAGATTCCAGATGGTGCTGCAGAGATTCCATCATCGACTGAGAGGTTGGACTGGGAGGTCTTTGGGGTCTCTTACAATACTGTGGCTCTTGAATTGGGTCTAGGTGCGGGGGTGAAAACAGAATAAGATTCTTCTGAGTCTCCCTAATTTCTGGGCTTGAAGCCTCTGAAAGATTACCTAATCCAACCCTTTCCCCTTCAACCCCTTCCACTGTAGAAATCCATCATATCTGACACATATATTTAGGACAGTCTCTGGCACTAGCATGTGGTAGACACTCACTCATTTATTGGTGAACACCCAGAAGAGGGTAGAGTGGTGGAGTCATGCAGACCCTGTTTTGAAGCTTACCAGTTCTAGCTGCGTCATCACAGGCACATGATTAAACTCTGCACCTTAATTTTCTCATCTGTAAAATGGGGATCATAGCACTTACCTCATAGGACTGAGGATCAGTGAGAGCCTTAATAAAATGTTAATTGCCCCTTCCCCCCATCCAAATTTATCAAATGTAATTTGCCATCAGTAAAGACCTAGGGTTAGTTTTCTGTAATGTTTTGGAAACCATGATTGCTGAACTCTTCCTGTCTTTTTTTTTTTTTTTTTTTTTTTGACAATCTTGTGTTTATCAGCATGAAATGCTCTTGGAAAAACTCTTCAGAGGGTTGGCAAATGGTATGGAGTAGTATAAAAGAACATGGAATCAGGGACTCTGGTTTTCATTTCTGGTTCAGACATTTACTAACAACTCAGTGTCCCTGGGAACCCTCTTCCCCAGCCTGGATTCTTGTGGTTTTACTCTCTTCCCCCTCTGGTGCAAGCTAGAAACCTGAGTCATTCTAAACACTTCCCTTTCTTCACTGCCCCCTCCATCGCTTCTCTAACCTAATTAGTTGCCAAGTCATGTCTAGTCTATCTCTGAAATAGCTTCAGAATCCATCCCATTCTCTCTGAGTCTGCTGTCTGGTTCAAGCCCTGCCTGTCCAGCACCTGGGCTGCCGTCTCCCCCACTAGTTCATCCTTCACACCCAACGCTGCTTAGTTCTCTAAACAACGCCCGATCACGTTTCTTCCCTGTTGGAAACCCTTCTGTAGCGCTCTGTTTCCTCCGGCATAAAGCTCCAAATCTTTTGAGTGGTATTCATTTGTTCACATTTTTATGGCGGCTTGCCGGTGCCAGGCTCTGTGCTGGACCCTGGGCTACCATGATGAATGAGGCCCACTGTCTGCCCCTGGGGAGCTCACTGCTGTGTGACAGAGAGAAACTGCTCTAAGATGCACCAGCTAACTGAAATGCAGCAGGACAGGTGATAAGACAAGGAGCATGTAAAGAGCTTGCCTTTCTGAGTTCACTCTGTGTTCTTGCCCCAGCCCCCTGCTTTTTAGCCCACTCCCTGACTACTCCATGCTCACTCATAGGTCTGTGCGTTTGTCTTTCTTCTTCCGTCTGGAATGTCCTTTACTGCCTTCCTTTTGGAGAATGCCTGTGTATCCTTCAGTGCCAGTTCCAGTATTACTCCTGCCTCTTCCAGGAAGCCTTCCTTGACCCACTGCCTACATGTGTTAATTTGATTGCTCATTTATCATTTGACAAACAGAAACAATTCCTCTGCCCCTGCCTTCTTAATAGCATTTAAGTAGATTTTTCTGATGACACTGATCAGATTGTATCATAATTATCTGGGGCTCCTCAAGGCCAGGCCCTGTTTAGTTTCGTGTCCCCTGGCCTAGCACAGAGCCTAACACAACATTGTTGCTCTGTAAATGCTTGCTGAATGAATGAAGTCTTTTTACAGTTGTGCACCTCAGTTTCTTCATCTGAAAATAGGCCTACTAATACCTTCCTTTTTTCTGTTGGAGGATTGTTGGCAGAATTTTGCCAGTAGCATTTGTATGTATGTGAAAGTGCTTTGTAAACTGTACACGTAAGGGCTTTAACGCAGGGCAGAAAGGAAAGGGTTTAGTTGCGGCCAGGCTGCACCAGACCCCTGGATTGTGATAGGACCAAGGTCAGAAGACCGGCCGGCAGCACTAGCTTGATTGTCGTGGGGTTGTTTCCTGGGGGAAGGGCTGTGCCTCAGGTGTCGTAAGCCAGGAACAGTTGATGGCTTTGCTCACACGACTTCTTGTGGAGCAGCAACTTCCTGGCTTGGTGTCCAGCCTGTTCTTCGGGTGTGCCCAGACTCTGCAGAGTCCCCATCCCCTTTTCTAGCCTACACTGGAATCCTGTGCCCTGTCGCTTAAGGAAAGAGCACCCTGGCAGGAGATGGTGGGAGTCAGTGGACTGGGATATGGACAGGGAGTGATCTGCCTCTGCCTTCAGCTCACAGTGTTTCTTAAGCCAGTCTCTTCCCCTCACCTGGCCTTAGTTTCCCGTCTGTAAACTGAAGGGGTTAGGTTGAAGAGGTCTTCTGGGCACCTCTCCCATCACACCTCTCCAGCTCCCTTGGGAGTCTTTATTCTTTAAGTCCTAATCCAAATGCTGCTTTCTCCTGGAAACCCTCCCCGGTTTCATTCTCCTTTGTGGTCCCATGGCACATGGCTTATGTGTCCATTTTAAACACCTATTTCCTTATGCTGTTTTGTTAAATGTTACAGAGTGTGTTTCAGTGCCTCTCCTATTAACTGAGCTCCTTTGAACATTTCACTCTCCTTTATACACATCCCCCGCCCCAAGAGTTTACCTGGCCTAGGGCTTTGCTGATAGCAATAATAATAATTAATATAACAGTAGAGCTACGATTTATGCTGGACGCTGTTGTAAGAACTGTTTCTTGTATTAATGGTTTTCAAACTGCCTTTTGAATCACTGGGGGGTTTCTGCAGGGCTCACTCACAGCCTAGCAGGGGAGGGGCCTATGTGGTCAGGGCTCTGGGACTCCCACCTCCAACCAGAGCAACTTTCTCTTGCCAGTTTTTAAATATTTTTATTCATCAAAAGGTTCTTTAGGGAATTCCCTGGTGATCCAGTGGTTAGGATTCGGCGCCTTCACTGCCATAGCCCGGGTTCAGTCCCTGGTTGGGGAACTAACATCCTGCAAGCCGCGTGGCCAAAAAAAAAAAGGGGGGGCGGATGGGGTTCTTTAGCTAAAAATTTAACTAACAAAATTCTGCTGTATACATTTCTTGTAGTCTGCAGAACAATTCAGTGAGGAAGGGGTTATTATATTTTACTTGTGAGGAAACAGGCCACTGACCCATGGGCATGAGCTCAGCTGATGAGAGCAGAGTTTTGAATTGAGATTTGCCTGTGACTTCATTATCTGTGAAGGAGTCTTGCTACGAGCTGTGGCAGCTTCCAGGGCAGAAGAGGGTCCACGATGCTGAGTGGGGAAGGTGGAAGGGCATGCTTCCTGCCCTCCCTCAAGAAGCCTCTCCTCCCCGAGCAAGCAGACTCTCTTGAGATGAAGTGTGACTTTGGCCTTAGCCTTGAGGGTAACTGTCCTGGAAGCTATCAAACGCAATTAAAAGAGGAAATCCAGGCTCGTACTGGCTAGGCCACCGGTGTGCCTTACAGGTTGATCTAAAACGTGTCCAGATGGTACCGTCCTCACAATGCTCGGAGCCGGGCGCAGTTGCTCTCTGTGCCCTTGAGCTCACTGCAGATGTGTGGAGGCTGTGGTCCACTAGGCCATTTAGGGAGATGGAGCCGAACACTCTGAGCCTCAGGGATCCCTGGCTAGTGGCGTGGGGACAGGGACAAGAGAGGGAGGAGTGCTCCCATGTATGCTCTGCTGTTTACATGGCCTGGGCTTAGCAGCCAGGAGACCTGGATTCTGGCCCCAGCCCCTCCACACGGTTGTTGTGTGATTTTTCTGGACTTGAGTTTCCTCCTCCATAGAAGAGTCCTACTGTTAGTAGTTACTGGGTATTGAGTGCTTACTTTGTGCGAGGGCCTGTGTCAGAGCCCTTTACGTGACCGGCCTCATTTCATTCACATACTAACCTGGAGGTAGGCAGGCACTCTTAGAGCCAAGGATATTTAGGCTTAGAGAGGGTAAGTCATTAGACCAGTTAGTAAGTGGCAGACCGCAAGCTTGAACTGGTCTTTTTCACTCTTAACCGTGGGCTATATTGCCTTAGGAATAGGGTCTTGCCTACCTGTCTCACAGAGCCATGAATGAGGCTGGGGAAATGGTTTTGCATCATGAGCTAGAGTAGGGTAAGGAAGACATGCTGTGGATGAATCCGTGCTCTAGATACATCATTTGTGACTGAAGAGGGTCAGGGGCATGGGCTGGAGATCACATTTGCACTGTGAATTCTGCGGATAGAGATGGGGGTACCACAGGGGTGGATTTGGAATTCAGTTTGATTAATTTGCCCACTCATTCATACAATAAATATGTATTGAGCATCTGTTCTGCACTGGGGGCTGGGGATAAAGGGATAAAGTGGCAAACCAGACATGATACCAGCCCCTGTGGAGCCCCTTGGTGTGCAGGGAAGGGCAGCCAGGAGGGCAGGGTTCCAGCCCTACCTCTGCAGGTCAGTGGCAGTGTGACCTTGGGTAAGTTGTATCTCCTCCAGCAGCCTCAGGTTCCCCATCTGAGCAATGGGGTCATGATTCCAGTCCAGTTCAGCCTATAGGATCAGTTGAAAGAAAGGCAGTGGCAGTGCCTTATAACTGTAAAGTTCCATACTGTGGCTGGTTTCTGGCCCTGTCATTCTGACTGATATCTTGCTCTTCTTGCAGGGCTGCCCAGGAGCTGGAGGACAAGCACCCGGAGCCCCTCCGGGTAGCTACTACCCCGGACTCCCCCATGCTGGAGGGCAGTATGCTAGCGGGGTACCCCCTGGTGGCGGATATGGAGGAGGTCCTGCCCCTGGAGGGCCTTACGGACCACCAGCTGGTGGAGGGCCCTATGCACACCCCAACCCTGGGGGGCTCCCTTCTGGAACTCCAGGAGGACCGTATGGTGGTGCGGCCCCAGGGGGCCCCTATGGACCACCACCTCCAAATTCCTATGGTGCCCAGCATCCCGGGCCTTATGGACAGGGAACACCTCCTCCAGGTAAGTAGGGACCTTGGACTCCAAGTGCCTCTGACCTTGTTCTGAGTTATCTAGGGCCCTTCCTTGCCCTCCTTGTGGATGTGTAGGCAGCCTGGTCTCCGGCACCTTAGCATCTCGTCTCTAGCTTAGCTTGCATTAGTAGAATGAGAAGTCTGTTAGTTAGCTTTGCTGTGGTAACAACTCCTAAATCTCTGGCTTACAGTGGCAAATGTTTATTTCTGTTCCTTACTCACACTTATTTACTCTTGGTTACATGTCGGCAGCTGCAGGCTTGGCTGCTGAAGTTCTGCTCCACATGTCTTTCCTTTCCAGGATCCAGGCTGGAGGAGCAGCCCCTATTTGGGATATACTGTTTTTGTGGCAGACAAAAAGAATAAGAGAGCTAGCAGGAATGCACGATGTCCCCTAAAGCTTCTGCTTTGAAGTAGTTTATACCTCTTCCACTCACGTTTATTGGCCAAACCACATCCTCTGGTCAAGCCTGACATCAATAGGATGGGAATGGATACTCCTCTCACTGGAGGGGCTCTGCAGGCCGTCAGGCAGTGGAGAGGATGTACCATGCTCTTGCAGGGAAGCAGGGGAGGGAGTGGATTAGCAAATGATTGGAGATAATACTACAGTCTACCGTGGGGAGAAACCCCATTTCTGTGTAAGAGAGACTGACTGCTATATGTAGAAAGGTAAGATAGCATAGTTGTTGAAAGCTTGGGCTCTTGAGATCAGATCACTTACTGACCTGACCAAATGACGTCATCTCGTTAAGCCTCAGTGTCCACATCTGTAAAATGTGTGAATGTCACTACCTCACAAGTTTGTTAATAAAGATTAAATGAGAAGTTGCAGGTAAACGCTGGGCACAGGGTATGGCAAATGGGAGGGGCTTAGTAAACAGAGTTCTGTGAGAGGACTCATTCTGGAGCATTCTCAGCAACGAGGTATGTGGCATTTAATGTGATAGCAGATATGGCAAGGGCCGTACCACTGAAAGATGCCGAGGCAGGCAGGAGAGTGATGGGATGAGATAGGGGAAGGATAAAGAGCAGAGACTGTAAAGCTGAGGTACTGGACAAATGGGGGCTGGGGAGGGGGCTTGGCAGCTCAGTGGAGGCAGAGAATCTTAGGTGGGGCTTCAAGCTCAGTGAAGATTTCTGAATGATTTCAGACGGGGTTGGGGAAGGTGAGATCCCAGACCCCTGTGTCCTCCCAGGCTCATTCAGTCAGCCTCTTCGCAATGCTTGTTCCCAGGAGACCACACCAGCAGCAAGGCAGCCTGGAACCATTCTGGTGCACCTGAAGGGCCTCCAGGGAATGGTGCTGCTGGGAAGCTGTAGCATCTTAGCATACATACCCAGCAGGTGGCCGAGGAAGAGGCTCAGACCTTGGGGGTTCTAAACACTGTGAGCCAGTGGCATTTATCTTATCAGAGCTGGGGCTGCTGGCTGTTTGCTTTCAGCTCAGAAGCTTCCTGGTGGATTTCCTCCTCCTTTTAAAATTTTGTTTCCAAGCCTACATGAGGTCACTGCAGGGAAAGAAACCCCTGGCTGTGAGGCTTATCCCTCCAGGGCCTGAGGCCAGAGATAATGGGGCTGCAGTGGAGAGGAGAAATGTGCTGTAGTCTCTTAACTGCTCACCCTCTGCAGCTTCCTCTCTCCTCTCCAGTGCCGCCCGTGAGCCCCTGGAGCAGTGCTTCTTTTTTTTTTTTTTTAAAAATATTTATTTATTTGGCTGTGCTAGGTCTTAGTCGCGGCACAGGGTATCTTCGTCGCAGCGTGCAGGATCTTTTTTTTCAATTGTGACATGCGTGTGGGATCTAGTTCCCTGACCAGGGATCAAACCCGGGCCCCTTGGGTTGGGAGCGCGGAGTCTTAGCCACTGGGCCACCAGGGAAGTCCCTGGAGCAGTGCTTCTTAAAGTATGATCCGTATATCGCCTGCAGTGGAGTCACCTGGAGGCCCCACTAACTTAACCCCGCTGAATACAGGGTCTAAATGTTGAACACCATGCTCTGCAAGAGAGGTTTGACCCTTAAAGGTGCCTCATTGCCCACAGGGAAGATCCTAAGGGCACTCGATTCCCAACGGGCCTTTCCAGACCCTCTCTCCCATCAACCCCAGACCCCTTGGAGTAGTCTGAACACACTCTGTGCCTTTGCCACATGCTTTTTCTTTTCCCCATCGTAACTCTTAATCATCCTTTCAGACCCAGTTTAAATAGGCCTTCCTCCGCGAAAATGTGACTGCACACATTCCAGGCCCTCTGTGAAAACTTTATTTTGCTGTTATCTCATTTAATCATCACAGCAACCCTGGGAAGTAGGTCCATTTTAGAAATGGGGGAATCAGTACTCAGAGAATGAAACAATTCCTCTAAACCACACAGGCTAGTAAGGATCTTTGCTCTCTTTGCTTCCAGAGCCTGAGCTGTTCTATGCTGACTGCGCAGACCACATATTACAGAGACTCTCCTGCCTGTGGCTGTGACCTCCTCTCCGCCATGGCACAGCAGCTGTTTTAGGAAGGAGGGTGGGGCCTGTCTGGATTTCCCATCCGAGGAGGTCAGACTAGTCCCTCAGCCAGGCAAACCTTTATCCTTCTGGCCTTACTTTGGGGACTGGACAGTGGTTTCTGTGCTGTCTCTGATACTTACATGTGTGAAGGAGCCCTCAGTCAACTCAGCAGGTTTACCAATACTGTGTAACTCTGGCTTTTTCCCAAGACGGTCTTCTGTGCTTCTCTGCTTTCATCTGTCACCTTCTCCCCTCACCCCCAGCCCACCCTGCATGTCTTTCCAAATGAATGATCCTTTCTTCCATCTGACGTACACATAAAGCTCCCAGACACACAAAGCCGTTTGAACCACAACAGCAACGCTAATAATCAGCAGGTATAAAGTGCTTGGATAGTGCCAGGTGTTGATCTGAGGGTTTTCATTTATTAATTGTATCTTTATAATAACCTTATGAAGTAGATGCTGTTGTGCTTGTCATTTCACAGATAAAAAAACTGAAACACAGAGAACTTCAATAACTTAACCAAGGCCGCACATGGGAGAGTTGGGACTTGAACCAGGAGGCCAATTCTAGCATGAATTGAGCACCTCCCCTTTCTGTGTCTGGCTCTGTGCTAGCCCCTGGGAATTCAGAGATGAGTTAGGCTGGGATCTTGCCCACAAGTTGCTCCAAGTGTAACCTGGAAAGAGTAGGAAAAAACATGTACACAGTGGAGTGATCAGGGCCATAGAGAGGAGTACAAAGGAGAGAGGAAGGAGGCCTGTCCAGGGATGGAAGAAGAGGAAAGGCTTTATAGAAGGAGCAGCATTTTATTTGGGTTTTGAAGGGTGGGTGGGAAATGGATGCAAAGAGATGAGGGAGAAGAGGGTATGAGACAGAGGGAACCTGGTGAGGTGAGTAAAGGCTTCATAGGGAGCTGTGAAGGTCTGGGTAGGACCAAGTGTCTTACTTACTGCACCTAGGCTGGAACAGAGGCGGAGGGGGACAGAGTGGGGATAGAGTGACAGGTAGATGGGGGTAGACCACATTGTGGGGAAACTGGAATGCTGTTTTAGGGATGCTGGACTTTATTTTGTAGACAGTGGGGAGCCTTTGAAGAGTTTTGAGTTGAGGTGGGGGGAAATTGGTGAGAACAGTGGAATTTTACAAAGATTACTCGGCAACAAGTGCTAAGTGGTGGAGAGTCGCTGTCATGAGGATTTGGTTAGGATTTTGGGTTTGTTCCGCAGTCAGGTGAGAGGTGTCTGAATCAGGGCAGGTGCAGTAGGAACAGGGAGGAGTTGATACCTGTGTATGGAACTGGCAGCTCTAGGCAGCTCTTTGGGTGTGTGGGGTGAGGACGTGTCACAGATGTCTGCAGGGAGGTTTGGAGATGGGGACAGGCATCGGAGGTGATGGGGAGGGAAGAGACGTGGAGCTCTGTGGCCACCCACATTCTGGTAGCTCTTGATAGAATATACCAGCTCTCCTGGTGCCAGAGATGGACCAGACCTGGTTCCCACCCCAGAGAGCTCCCTGCTGCCTGACTCTCAAAATGCTTGTCTCTGGGCTGTGCATGTTAGGTGCTCAGCAAACATTTTTGGGGAAGAGATGATCCCCCTTTTCAGAGAATTCTTAATCTGCCGGACAAGTCCTTGTTCCTTAGAAACTTAAAATCAACTAGAGAAGTGGCTGGAGCACCGTAGGAAAAACCTGAAGGATTTGTGGAGTAGAAATCAACCACAAATACTCGTGAGTTTACACAGAAGGTCCTCTTCCATTAGAGTAAGGATGTTGTCTTGATGGAAGACAGGGAGTGGGTAGGCAGATTTGTGAGACTTTTGGGGTAGCTGGGGGGCACTGAGGCTGACCCTTCCCAGCATTTCTGTGGATTGGTCTTGAGGCCTGCGTCTGACTCCCCTGGTTGGCACCCCTTCCTGCAGGTGGCACCCCTCCCAATGTGGATCCCGAGGCTTACTCCTGGTTCCAGTCAGTGGACTCCGATCACAGTGGCTATATCTCCATCAAGGAGCTGAAGCAGGCCCTGGTCAACTCCAACTGGTCCTCGTTCAACGACGAGACATGCCTCATGATGATAAGTGAGTCCTAGCCCTTCCTCATGGGCTCCGGCTGGGGCAGAGCCACCTCCTGTCTGACGGTAGGTGGGTGGGAGGCCATTCTGAGGAGAAATCTTTTGGCCAGGGAGGATTTCTCACAGGAAACTGGGTTCAAGGTGAGATCCCTTAGAGAGCTCTTTTCCTTAGCTCTTTGCTCAAGTTCTAGACCTTGCTGAATCATAGGCCAGCTCAGTGTCTCATTCTGCAGAATGGGACTCCCTGTCCTGGTGGGAGATGGCAGGGTGGGGGTCGGCTGCCAAGCCTGCGGAGAAGATGCAGTTCTGGCAGGGGTGGAGGCTGGTATCGTACTTGATGAGGGAGCATCTTGGGTACCGGCATCTGGGCCTCAGGCCTGTGGTTCTGTGGAGTGTCCTACTCCAGCCTGGGGAGAAGGGAGCCTCAGTGGTATCTGAGGACCCTTGGCCCTTAGTCTTGAAGCCTTCTTTCCCTCCCCCACCCAAGACATGTTTGACAAGACCAAGTCAGGCCACATTGATGTCTACGGCTTCTCAGCCCTGTGGAAGTGCATCCAGCAGTGGAAGAACCTCTTCCAGCAGTATGACCGGGACTGCTCGGGCTCCATTAGCTACACAGAGCTGCAGCAAGGTGAGGGCCTGGCAGGGACTCAGCGCACAGGCACAGCCGGATGTTTCTCTTTGCCCCCTAAGACAGAGCAAGGGGTTCTCTCTAGCCTCTGGCTACCACGTGTCCAACTGCACTGCAAAACGCTGCCCTCAGCACAGGCCCTCTCCCCACCCCTTCTGTGACCTGGCTGGGCCGTGAGCCCAGTCCAGGGCAGGGAAACGATCGGGGCTGGACTCTCTGGCGATGGGATTCCTGGCAGCACTAGGTGAGACAGGCGCAGCTGTCAGGGAGCCTTGGGGATGGAAATTCAGCAGCCGAGGGCACTTTGAGACTGGTCCATGTGGCTCGTGTGGCTCTTTCCTCTCTAGTTTCTAGCATGCAGAATGGAAAGAGCCCTGTAGAGGGGCTCAGAAAGGTGGCTTCTGTTGCCAGCCCTACTAGAAGGCAATCTCATTCCCAGCTTTGGGACCCAGACCACTCTAAAAGTTGCAGTTGGGTAAGATGACCTAAGGCCACAGCTCCAGGTCTGGTTCCAATTCTGACTCCAGAGGATGGTTGGTTAGTGTGGGGATGAGAACTGGACGGGGAGCTTTGCCACCTGAGAGGGAGAAAGGGCTCCCCACAGAACCCAGCCCCTCGCCCTGGCCATGGATTTCAATCAGACTAAGGAGCCTGGGGGCGGGAGCAGGGGGAAGGGGAGCTCCCTGGTGGAAGGGAAAGGAGGTGACCTGTTCTGAGCACCTACTCTGTTGTCAGGTAATGGTCCGGTGATGGATATTTGTAAGGGTGATATTATCACAGGAAAGCTAATATTTATTGAATGCTTGCTATGGGCCAGGTACTGTAATAAGCTTTTTTCATATATTACATCATTCTTTCTCTGCATGTGATCGGTACTGCTTCTTATTCCCCACGCTTAGATGAAGGATCTCTTATTATTACCCTTTTACAGGTGAGAAAACTGAGGCTTAGTCTAGGTGACTTGCCCAAGGGCCACATAGCAAAAGGGGAGCTGAGACTTTAGCCTGAGCTGGTAGATTATACAGAGAGGAAGAAGGAAGCATCCCAGGTGGAGGGACAGGAGGAGCAGCGTGGAGGCTGTGGGCTTGGAACTGCCCAGCAGCCTCGCCTGGGGAGATGGTGATGATTTTATAACTTTTAGCAAATAACACTTACTGGGTGCTTATTATGTGCCAGGCACTACACCAAATCCATTGCACGATCACCTCCTTTAATCCTTACTAGAACCTACAAGGTAAATATTATCCCAATTTTAGAGATGATAAGACAGAGGATTAGCAAGGGTTAATAAGCAACTTGCAGAGGGGCAATCTCGACTCCAGAGCAGGCCCTCATAGCCTCACGCTGAGCCACCTCTCATGTGTGTCTGCCCGGGGCAGGGTGACCCGAGGGGGCTCAGGCTCCTGTCTGTAATAGAGACGAGTCAGAGATGAGCATGGACAGACTGGTGTCATTCTGGGACCCTGCGGGCCCCTAGTTGAACAGACAACAGAGACTTTGAGAAAGAGGGATGGGGGCCTTCCAGCCCAGGGGAGCATCCAGAGCCCCTATGTGCTCCTGCCGTTTTGGACAGCCCCTCGGGACATCTGTCCTGTTTCTGCTTTGGTGCCAGTCCCCTTGAAGTTCCTGAAGTGCTGTACTCCGTGGAGCTGGTTGATGGCGGTGCTCACGGCAGGTTTTTGTGTCTGCTCTGTGTGCCCCTCCTCTCCAGCTCTGTCCCAGATGGGCTACAATCTGAGCCCCCAGTTCACCCAGCTCCTGATCTCCCGCTACTGCCCGCGCTCTGCCAGTCCTGCCATGCAGCTAGATCGCTTCATCCAGGTGTGCACCCAGCTGCAGGTGCTGACTGAGGCCTTCCGGGAGAAGGACACAGCTGTGCAGGGCAACATTCGGCTCAGCTTCGAGGACTTCGTCACCATGACAGCTTCTCGGATGCTATGACCAGCCCATCTGTAAAGTGGGGAGTGCACCAAGGGACTTTTCCTGGCTCCTAGGGTGGGAGAAGCATGTGGGCCTCTCTTCATTTCCTGCCCTTCCTAGAAAAAGAATTCTCCCCTGCCTGATTCAGCATTGTTCACAAAGAGGGCTGGTCCCCACCAGGTAGTGGGGACCTGGGCTGAGGCCACACAGGTAGGGGCCTGACCTAGGAGAGGACCGGAAATTGAATGTCCTTTTACATCCCTGAGTATTTAAATGGCACAGCCTTGCGCCAGGTGCCAGAGATGCTGGTCATTGCAATGGAGTTAGTGTCCAGTCAGCTGACTCCAGACTCTAGCTTTTCCTTCTGTGCCCTGACGCCAGCGGTAAGTGTTCATCAGCCTTTTAACCATTAGCACCTGTGTTCCCTCACCCATGCTGTCTTGTCAGATGAACCCAGTTTCTCCAAAATGGAATCTGACCAGGGTGAGAGATTTGCCCATGGGTCCAGCGGCTTGGATTCCACCCCCCACAAGTCCGTGTGTGTTGACTTCTAGCTGCCTGTTCAGGGAGCTTGGGCAGTCTGCTCTCTGGGCATCTTTGGCCAGGTTACCCCTCTGCAGCTTGGACCCCTCATACTTACCTGCCATCCTCTGCTTGGCTTCAGTCCCCAGGGGACAAGTTGCTACCTCCCACTGCCAATGCTTTTTTTTTTTTATTTGTGGTTGTTTTCATTTGGGGCCAAAAGTTTGGTGCGACTGTAAGCTTCAATACAAGAATAAAACTCTGGAGTTCCACATTTTCCACCACACCTTCCCAGTTACAGGTTCATATGCTTATCCATTCAGTCACTCATTTATTCTTTCGTTCAACGAATATTTAAGTACATAGTATATACCATGCCATGCAGAAAGAAACAGCTCAGGGGGACATGCCTCCACAGGGCTGCTCTCACTTACTGGGTTGAAGTTAAGTGTAACTTAACTTCAGGTTAAGTCTAACCTTGCCAGGTTCAGTCCAAGAAGCTGACCGTGTGTTTTATAACAGTTTTAGGGCTGGCATTCTGGGCTAGAAGCAGCCACCCCAGACTTTCCACAGCCTGGCCTTTTTATTATCTCAAACCCTAGTTTTAATCTTCCAGACAAACTGCATTTACGCAGTCATAACTTTCTCCCCATTTTTATTAAGTGCAGACATCTGCCAGCTGGATCTTCACATCAGCTTGATAATCAGTCTATACCAAACGTCGACAGTGATCTGACAAAAGTTCAATCCGAAGCCAAGACACCAGACGTTTTGGTTTGATTGGGGGACCTTATGATGGGTAATGGTGAGCTAATCCTTTTGTTTTGGGGGATGAAGATAAGAAAACAGGCTCTCCTCCCTGCTTGGTTGGGGAAGCAGCTCAGTGAGGCCTGGCAGGTTATGTCAGGCTTAGGCAGTTCAGCCCCGGTTCTCCTCTGGGCTGCTGTCGTGCTAGAATCCTAGAGTTAGGTGGAATCCAGTTCCCAGAGGCCAGCCCCCATGCAGAGCTAGAACCCCTTCCATTACCCCACTTTGAGTCTGGCCTCTGCTTGCCAACCTCCAATGACAACTCAGTGCCTTTCCAGGCAGCCCATTTCCTCCTGGACTAGTAGGGACTTCTTCCTGCTGTGGATTCCAAATCCCACCACCTTGAAAACACTACCCATTGGCTATAGTTTTCTCTCTTGGGCCACCGAGAACATACTCCACCCCTTCCTGCATGCCAGTCCTCTAGATATCTGGAACGTGCCACCACATTCCCCCAGGTCCTCCCTTCCCTAGGCCAGATAGTCCCAGGCTCTCCAGAAGCTGTTCACTGAGCTTCATTCCATGGCATCCTGTGAGTTCATCTGAGTCCCCCAAAATAGAGGCCTGAGGCCCACCATGGTGCTGGGTTCAACCCGCAGAGGACAGAGTAGAACTGCAGCCATTAGGGGAAGCTTTTGTTGTTTCTTTGTTCCCACTGAGCCAAGTGTTTACTGAAACCTGTGTCTAGAACAGTGTCAATCATACTCTGTCACCTTTGTGATCAGCTGGGGCTGAGGAACCCAGGACCTGGGTTCTTCCTTGTGGACATGGTTGGTTCTGGGCTTGGGCGTCAGCCCTCACACCTCATTCCACACACTGCCCCTCCAAGCCTGGCTACAAACTTGACAAACAGCTTTGGATCCTAAGGCTAGCGGGAAGGGAGTGGAGAATGGGCGGGACACCCTGTACCCTCTGGCAACAGCTGCACATCTGTGGCAGTGTTCACGTGAGCTGGGCTGGCGAGTCATCTGGAGAGCAGGATGACATGCTCAGACCACTCCCTCCACCTGCTCTGCCTACGAGGAGGGGAGCTAAAGCATTCCTGGGCTGGGCCCCTGGCAGGATCCGCGGTTTGCGGTTTGCCCCACTTCTTGACGGGTGAGGTCATTAATCAGGTTAAGCAGACCCAGCGGTGCGCATGGCCGAGCTGGCCTCTGCCAGATGTCTCCCGCTCGTCTCAGCAGACAGTCCTTCAGACTGCTTCCCACCTCCTGCTCTGGCAGCAAGGATCAGGGCCTCTGGCAGCCCTCTAATCATCTTGGTGGCAGATGGAACACGTCTAGCCCAGTCTCTGGCTTTCTCTTTTTAATCTGTGAGTTCATAGAAAATAAATGCAAGCCCTGATTTCCAAGAAGGTGAAGACAACAGTAAATTGGTCTGTTAACCCTGCTGTCTGCCCACCCTACCCCCCTTACCTTCCATAGACTGCTGGGCTCATGAGCAGACAGATGTGGCCAGGATCGAGGTCCTGGCATCAGAGGATCGGAGCCACGTGAGGGGGCAGGAGCACGTGTGCTCTGAGACCTGCCCAGGAGCCATCTGGGATCCCGTGTGTTAGGGGACGAGAGGTGGGAGGGGTCAGCAGATAGCTGCATTTCAGCACTGTCTTCTCTCCTCCCCCAGCCTCCCCACCTTCTCACTCCTAACCTAAGAAGCACAGATTTTGTGCAATGACAAGGAGAGGGAACGTTCAGTGCCAGGCTTTTAATTACAGTTGCTTCAGGCTGCTGGCCTCCATACCAAATGGCCTCATGGAGAGTGTTCTACCGCTGCACAACCAACGGGGTCCAGTCTGTGGTGTGTGCACTTGGCACCTGGTGAGGGTGGGGCTCTGTTCCCACTGGGGAGGGGCTGGGCTCAGATTAGTTCACATGGGCCTCAAGGAGCGCTGCCAAGTGCAGCCTGGGCTTTAGAGCCCCTGGACCAGATGGAAATGCCCGCTGGGACCCTTATAGCAGACTCCAGGGAAGATCTATGATTGGGTAGGAGAGGGGTCTTTGGGAGGAGGGCCAAGCTCTGGAAGGATGATAGTGATGGATGGTACTGTGCGGTATAGCCAAGTGAGAGGAACACAGCGTTAATCTTGTCCTTAACACTTTACAGTTTACAGAGAGCTTTCCACTTTCTTGAGCGTGCTTAATCCTCACATGAATCCGCTTAGGGGACGCAGCTCAGAGAAGGGAAGTGACACTGCCCAGAGCTAAACAGGCAGAAAACGAGGCGAGGAGCCCCGGCCTCGCACTGCAACCAGCAGTCTTTCCATGAGGAGTGGGGGCAGCTCCCCCAGTAGCCAGAGGAGCAGCCCAGGCAGGGGATAGGTTGCACCCCCTTTTGCCACCAGGATGGCCCTCGCTCAGGGCAGCACCGTGGTGACACTGGTGAGCACCACGTGCTCCGAGACTTTGGAGACAGAGCACCGGCTCTGCAAGGACAAGGACTTGTGGCTGGCAGAGGAGCGAGGGCTGGGGGCCTTCAGAGAGCCGCAGGGACCCAGGCCAGGCAGGCAGCAGGAGAAGGCGGCCTTAAACTGCTCCCGGAATTTGCCTTGGTTGAGAGACAGAAGACACAGCCATAAGGAGACAGAAGCAGCAGGAAGGGGCCTTGGGCCCAGGGACACCCACGCAGCTCCAGCCAAGCTGCCTGTGAGGGGGTGGGAGGGAAGGGTAGAGCTGGGCAGGAGAGAGCCCCAAGGCGACCTCGTCACTGCCAGGGAGAGTGAGGACAGAGGCCCTGGAGCAGGTTCCCAAGGAGAAATGCAATTTTCATCTGATTCCTTGACTGCGCTCTGGCTCTGAGCCTGGCTGAAAACGTTTTGTCTGGCTCAGGGAGCTTAGGTCACCTCTGCCCTCGTTGGCGGGCAGGTGGAGGGGCTCACGGCTCACCATCTGTGGCTAGGCTTTCCCCATCTCTGCCCCATGGTGATGAAAATACAGCGGCAGCAGCCCTTGCAAAGGCACTGTGCCGGGCACCTGAGTTTGTCGCCCAGCTCACCCCAGCACCCTGAAGGCCTGGAGTCCTCTAGCCTCACTCCACAGAGGCACGCAGAGGTGCAGTGGCTTGCCCAAGGTCACCAGCCAGAATTTGGGCCCCGTTCTAATTCCAAAGCCTTCGCTTAAAGGGTAGGGAACAGTGGGGAAGGAGGGATCACCACAGCCATCTGTACAGTCAGAGGACACCAGGCAACAGATTGTGCTGGAACTGAACAACCATGTTTCAATCGCCCCGCAAGCCTGGCCAGTGCCCAGCAGAGGGCCGAGCACACAGCAGGCGCTCAGTAAATGTAGACCAAACGAAGAAATGCACGTCAGGAAGTCTGCCTGACGTGTCCTCTGCCGTTGCTCGTCTCTTCTGTTCTCCCCTCTGAGCTGGAAACCACCCGGCTAGCCTCTGTTGAGTAATTCTTTAGTCTCAGTGAGGGTTACAGCATTGACCCCAGCCCCTTCTTTAACCTTTCAGCCTTTTCTCAAAGATTGTCCAGGCTTGAGCAGTCATCTGGTCAGTTCTCTAGGCCTGGTCCGAGTCAGGTCTGGTGAGTCACACTCTGCTGAGCCCAGGCGGGGGCCCGGGGTGGGGCCTTTCCACCCTGAGACCGGGAGGTAGTGGAAGGGGGTGGGGGCTATGGGACAGTGGACAGAGGAGGCCTGGGCGGGGGGGGCAGGGGACCAGGGATGCCTGGACTTGCAGAGGGGAGAGTGGGAGGGCTGGTGCTGGAGGCAGGTGGATTCAGGGGTAGCCCCCCCAAATTCGGGCCACTCTGCCAGCACGTGTCTAGCTGGGCATGGAGAAGCTGTTTCCCGGCCCTGGGCTGCCTCACTGGTGGCCCTCCCTTCCCCCTGATGCCTCGATTATGCAGTCATCTTCTCAGGCAGGGGCTCCATCTGGAGCCTCTGTTGACCAGACTGGCTGATTGGCAGTCCTGCTGTGCGTGCATCACGCAGGGGTGGAGGTGAGCTGGCCCAGCCCCTGCGCTCCCCCCCACTCAGTGGTCTGCATAATCTGCAAAACTGGATCCTGGAGCTGGTCACCTTCTTTGGCCACTATTGGGAGTGTGGCCTGTCTCCCACTCAGACCAGGGCTCTTGGGCGGGGACAAGTCTTCCCCCTGAGTGGGAGTTCCCAGAGCAGGGTCCTGATCCCCAGGAGGCAGCAGGTGTATTCTTCCCCGCATGCTTTATTCAGCCTGGGTTGAAGATAGGGAGACCATTGTCCTGGGGACTGTTGCCACCCTCAGTTACTCTGCGTCCCCAGCCCACTCACCACTGAGGAAGTTGTAGATGATGGGGTTGGCGGCACTGTTGGCGTACACCAGCCAGTGGGAGAAGGTGAAGCAGGCATAGACGGCTTCTCGGTCGCTGGCTTGGCGGAACATCCCAAACACCCTAGGACCAGGGGGCAGGACACTCAGAATGGGAGAGGGGTGTGTGTGTGTGTGTTTATGTTGGGCAGCAGTTGCTGTCCTCATCTACCAGACAGGAAAACTCAGAAAAGGAAGGCGAGTTGACCAAGGTCACATAGCTCGTGAATGGCTGTAAAGTACAAGAGTCCCACTGCCCCCTTCTGTGCACCAGGCAGCCCTTTCCTGGGCCTCTGAGTCTGGGGTCCTGACCACAGTTTGGGGTTCTTGGGTGCAGAAAGTATGACCAGAGTGGGCCTAGGAACAGGGACCAGGGTACCTCTGCTCAGTCACCAGCCGTGTGACCCCCTGGGGCTCCCCCTCCACTGTATCATCCATCCCCGTAGCAGCACGATGAGTCATAGACATCATCCATTTTTTAAATAGGGAAACTGAGGTTCAGAGAAGCAAAGTGATATGTCCAAGATCACACAGCCAGGAAGTGACCAAGCACAAACACACTGAGATTGTCTCATGGCAAAGAGCCCAGGGTCTTGCCCTGCCCCCCTCCCCACCCCCACCCCATGGCCTCTCACTCGCTATTCTTCCAGACCCCTGTGGGTGTGGTTGCTCCCTTCCTTCAAGTCTCTGCCAGATGTCACTTCCTCAGAGAGGCTTTTTTGTTTTTAACCATTACATCTAAAAAACATTTATTTTTAACCCCACCAACCTCTGTCACTGTCATTCTCTATCCCCTTTCCCTATTTTTTCTTCAAAGCAGTTATCACTGGCTGACATTGTAGTACATGTCCATTCTCTCTCCCGTCAGATGTCGCCTCCACGAATGCAGGACATTGTCCTGTGCACTCGTTCACTCCGTTCCCAGCCCTAACAACCTGATGATTGAGTGGCCAGACGAGAGAATTTTCACGAGAGCCCTAGGAGGCAGGCCAGTTATTATTCCCATTCTACAGGTGAGGAGATTGAGGCTCAAAGAAGAGAATTACTCCCACAAGGTCACACAGTGGATGAGTGGTGGAGCCAGATCTTTCTCTGAAGCAGAGAGAGCTCCTTCCTCTGACCCCACCACCTCTCCCCACCCCCAACCACTCCCCACGCGCTCTCACCTCTTGAGGACATTGAGGACACTGATGGGCAGGTAGCAGAGGGCAAAGACCAGCAGCACCACCATCAGCATCTTGGCTGTCTTCCTCCGAGCTCGCATTTGCTTTACCTCGGCCAGGAAGGCACGGGCCCGAGGCGGGGGCTCTGCGCCCACGCCCTGCCCCTGGTCCTCCAGCTGGTCTGAGGGCCTCTTCCAGTTCCTCACCAGGGCCGACGTGGTGCCGGGGATCTGTCCAGCACACACAGACAGCAGCGGTGGGTACAGCTCCTTGGGAGGTCGTTCTGCTTCGCTGGGCCTGCTGGACCCTGGGGCAGGGAGGTGGGCAAGGGAACAAACCCTTGCAGCAGGAAGGAGCCTAATATTCATGATAAAGACCAACACTCTGGACTTGAGTGGACTTCCGTTTTCCATTAGCTCATCGTGAGACCACCCACAGTATGTCTCTTGGGACGGTATTATTCACCCTTAGTTGTAGATGAAGTAGGGGACCCTTGACAAGCCCCCAGGTCACAGCCTGGGGCCTGAACATCCTTCCAGCTACCCACCCATCTTCCTTAAATCACCACCTCCATCTGTGGCGACAGGGGTGGTTGGATGACTCGTGCCTCCCCGGGTCCTTGCCTGACTGGGAGGCCTGAGCAAGGGGCGTGCAGGTGGACAGCGTGGAATGGCCTGGGCCTCAGAGCATAGGTCTCAGCCTAGGTCAGTGCCGATAGGCCTATGGTGGTTCTAGGCACCTGGAGCAGCCACAGATATTCTCAAAGCCTCTCTCACACTGGACACCTGAATCACCCCACAACAGAAGGGCATGGGGCTAGAGTTCAGGAAACTTGGGATCTAGGGCCAGCTCAGCCATTCAAGAGCTATGTGACCTTGGTAAACTCAGTTTTCTTTCCTGAGCCTTGCTTTTCCTGTTGGATAAGGATAGCGACTCCTGCCTTGTGGACCGGGGCATTGTGAGGAGCAGATGGCGAGCGCTGGTGGAGCGCGAGGCTGCTCGTGTTCCGGCCAGCCTCCTCTCCCGGCCCGGGCGCTGATCCAGGACTCACCCCGCTAGTGCCAAGGGCCTCTGAGCATGCCCTCCCATGGCAAACCGCCCCCCTCCAAAAAAAACCCCTGCTGTTGGTCAGTGTGTAATAGAGGAAAGAAGGAAGGCCCTGGAACCAGAAAGGCTCTGCCACTCATCAGCCGTGGCAGATTGGTTGCCCTTACTCAGCATTTGTAAAGTGGGTAATATTGCTTCTTTGCTTAGATAGTTGTGAAGACATTGCAAGCAAAGTGCCTAATTTGGACAGCAACACGGAGGTGTTATTGTTGTTGTGGCACTGAACCGAGCATTGGAACCCCACAGACCTGGGTTTTAGTCCCTGATCGTCCACTCGCTGCTGAGGGATTTGGGAGAAGTTGCTTTGCCTCTCTGGGTCTCAGTTTTCTCATATATTAAGGTGGTGATAGGGACTTCCCTGGTGGCGCAGTGGTTTAGAATCTGCCTGCCAATGCAGGAGACACGGGTTCGAGCCCTGGTCTGGGAAGACCGCACGTGCCACGGAGCAACTAAGCCCGTGTGCCACAACTACTGAGCCTGCGCTCTAGAGCCCTCAAGCCACAACTACTGAGCCCCTGTGCTGCAACTACTGAAGCCCGCGCGCCTAGAGCCCGTGCTCTGCAGCAAGAGAAGCCACCGCAATGAGAAGCCCGCGCACCGCAACAAAGAGTAGCCCCCTCTCGCCGCAACTAGAGAAAGCCCGCGTGCACCAACAAAGACCCAACGCAGCCAAAAAAAATAAAATAAATAAATTTATTAAAAAGAAAAAAAAGGGGATAACGGATGGTGGTGAAGAGGATGCAAGACTAGCTGGGAGTGCCTGGTGCAGTAACTGGCAGCTACTGATATTAGAAGGACGCCAGTTACTATTTGGTTCCAGGGCCGGCACTAGCAGCACTTTCGGCCTTGAGTTTGACGCATGCCTAGGCCTTGCTTCTCTGGTTGCAGCCAGGATGGCATGTTCTGAAGGCAGAGGGCTGTCTACTCCCTCAGACCAGTACCCCTGTCCCCTCCCAGCCCACACAGTGACACCAGAGTGGGCCTCACCTGGCGGCCCCAGAGCTTGCGGAAGATCTGGAAATAGGCCATGGCCATGAGGCCTAGTGGGGCCAGGTAGGTGACAATGAAGAAGCAACTGTGGTAGATCCTGGGATAGAGATCATCTGCAGGGGCCAAGAGATGCACGGGTTGGGCTCAGTCTGGGAAGCCCCAGCCTGCCCTGCTTAGCAATACCACCCTGCCCTGACTAGGCCCAAAGTAAGCAGCTGGGCCCCATACAGGTACCATGGCAGAGAGACCCTGGAGTTGCCCAGCCCAGTGGTCTCCATCCTGGAGGGACCCCTGGCAGATGTCTACACTAGAGAAGGTACCCACACCAGAGGTATCCCTGCTAGATGCCTGCTCTAGGGTATCCTCCCAAGAGATACCCACCCCTGGGTGCCCACCCCAAAAGTGCCCTGATAGATGTCTGCTCTGGGGGTGTGTGCCCCGGAGGTGCCCACTTCAGGGACACCTGCCCAAGGCTCCCGCCGTTACCTGCCCAGCGTTCATCACAGACAGAGAAGAGCCGGGTGCGGTTGGCTAGCTCGGGCAGCACACTGCTGCATTCCATGACAGCAGCCTGGGGCACCATGACAGCCAGCGACACGGCCCAGATGCCCAGGATGGAGCCACGGGCACGCCGGGCAGTGCTCTTGAACAGCAGGGGGTGGCAGATAGCATACCAGCGGTCCAGGGCGATGAAGCTGAGAGTCAGCACTGCCACTGACACAGACACGGCCTGCCCCATGGGGACACGATGTCAGTCCTTTTGGGGGCCACCCAGAGACATGGGGTGAGTGATGGAGCTCACAGCCCAGAAATACCAGGCAGCCAGGTGCAGTGCAAATCCTGACTCCACCACTTACTGCCTGTGTAGATTTGGGCAAATCACTCACCCCCTCTGAGCCTCGTATGCAGAATGGGAATGTATCATCCACCTGGCAGGATTCTTGTGAGAATAAATGAAATTATGGATGGAGAATGTCCAGCTTGAGACCTGGCACATAGTAGGTGCTCCCCTACTATGAATAATAATTTACACTTTAGGAAATAACTACATGCCGGACACTGTTCTCGTTATCCTCAGAACAACCCTTGAGGTGTGTCCTCTTACCCCCAAGGTACAGGTGAGGAAACTGAAGCAAGAAAGATTAAATAACTTGCCTAAGGTGGATTTCCTCACCTGCCTGTCTTTATTCTCAGGGTTGCCAAAGTTAATGGGTTGAGTGGGAAACCTCCAAATAATGGGAAATCCAAGAGGCATTTCTCTCTGCCCTGGGATCCCATCCCTTCCCCAGGCTGTGAGGAAAGAGTCCTCATTCTGGGAGGCAGAGATGAACCTAGGCCAGAGACGCAGGGGCACTGGCTCCAGGAGTGCCCCCTGCCTTCTGGGGTACAGGGAGAGGGTCGAGGGATGCAACCCTCTGGCCAGCTCTCCTTCTGGCCCAACAACCGTACAGGACAGCCTGACACCCACCACTGGGAGAGGGAAGGCCCCAGCCGGGAGCGGAAGGGCCGGGGAGGAGACTCTTGCCAGCCCGCCACCTCAAAGCTGCCCCCTTGGGGTCAGGGAACAGGCCCATTCTCTGTCACGGTGGGCTTGCGCCTCTCTCCTGCACTGTGTGCCTGTGTACCTGGAAGTGACTGTACATGTGTCCGAACATGCCTCTGTGAATGTCTATGAGTGTGACCTGGAGGGTATCTCTGTATGAGTATATGGGGCTGTGTCTGTGTCTGTGTCCTTGAGTGTCCTGCCTGACGGCCTGCCCTTGCTAACAATAGAGCATGACACTGCCGAGGTACTGAGCCATGTCCTGTCTAAAAGGCAAGTTTGAGGGTCACTGAGACCTACGCAAGACCATGGTTTTTGTACTTGGTATGACAGGGGGGTCATGAGGGGCACCCAGGCAAAGCTCACCTGTAGATAGGGGATGACCTTGCAGAGGGCATGGCCGAAGAGCCAGGATTCAGTAATGTCTACCAGCAAGCTAGCCGGCAGGCAGATGGCCGTCACCAGAACGTCGGCCAGGGACAGGTTGACGATGAAGTAGTTGGTGACCGTCCTCATGTGGTGGTTCCGCCACACGGCCAGGCAGACTGCGGGGTGGGAGCAGGATGAGATGAGGCCGGTGGCAGAGCCACGCCCAGTCTAGCTGGGTCCCATCAGTGAGACCCTTCCCCCACAGTACCCAGTAGGGACTTGGGGGAGGGGGAGAGAAGCAAGGCCCAGGACCCCTCCCAGTCCCCAGGGGAAGCCCGAAGCACCACAGGGACCTAGAGACCTACCCAGCGTGTTGCCCACCAGGGCCACGAGGAACACAGCCACGTAGGCGGCGATGAGGACCCACTCGTACTGCTTCGGGTACAGATAGTCACGCCACAGATAGCGGAGAAACTCGTCTTCGTAGTCTGGAGGCACCGGGGACGGTTCCCCGCTGTCAGTGGGGACCCCCATCTGGGGCCCTGGGGTGGCCGAGGGCTCCATGAGCTCAGGAGCCACTACAGCTGATGGACATCCCAGGCTCCCCCAAGGGAGGGGCGCTCCTGGGCCAGGCCTTAGCCCACTTCCCTCAGGGGACCCAGAGTCTTGCACTCAGGTGTTTGTGGTCCCAGCCTGAAACCTTCTGAAGGAAGGAAAAGGGAACATTAGGGAGAGTGCCAGGCAACTTGCAGATGAGCTTCCTCTTAATTCTCACAGTCATGTGGGTTATGGAGAGCCTGAACTCGATGGAGAAAGACAGATCTGCCTTGCCTCCCAATTTCATACCAGTTGGGTAACTTACCTCACCCCTCTCAGCCTTGGTTTCCCCATCTATCCCGTGGAGTAATAACTGAGCCGGCCTCACAGGGCCTCGCTGAGGAATAATGAGCTCTAATGAATGCCGAGTGCTTTACCCAGAAACTGGCACCGGAAGCCGGCTTCACGGTCATTGCTGGTTACCACTATTAAGAGCCCTGCTTTGCAGAGGGGGAGATAGAAGCTCAGAGAGGTTGAGCCCCTTGCTCAAGGTCACAAAGCTGTTATTCCAGGTCTGTCTGAGTCCACCAAACACCACAGATTGGAGAGGGGAAGCCATCCTGATTTAAATGTTCTCTCCTGAGTCAGTTCACAGGCCTGAATTTTTGGTTGAAAAACTGGTCAAGGGAGGCTTTTGAAGACCCACGCCCTGCCCACAAGACCTGCCAGACCCTCCCTGGTGGGGACACACACGCACGCACACACACACACACACACACACACGCACACACGCACGCACACAGTGTGGGTAGAGGTGCAGGGAGGAACTGACAGCCTCTCCGAAAGCGAGGGGAGAGCCCCAGGCACAGGGGCTGGGCCCGTCAGCCCCCAGCCCCCGCTAGTCCCCCCTTGAATCCCGTGGCCGCGATGCGCCCCGGTGGCCGCCAGGGGTCGCTGGACCGGCGTGCGGGCTGCCCTCTTCATTCATAAATCCGGCCTCGCACCCCGCCCCTCCTCGCTCGCTCAGACCCGTCCTTTCCCCGGCTGAGAAGGGAGGACCCCGGACGTATGTAGGAGGGTTGCCGATCCCTGGAGACCCCCCGGGGAGCATGAGGGGTCTCCTTCACACCCCCAGCGGGCGCCGGCGGACCCGCTTCCTCAGCGGGACCTCCCTGCGTCTCTGGGGCTGTGCGGGCTGCGGTGCGGGGAGCGAGGGCGCGAAGCATTCTTTAGGAGCCTGCCTGCCGGGAGGAGGGCAGAGCATGCCGGGGACCCAGCCTCCAAGCACCCAGGTTATCTCCCGAGACTCTTGGCTCCCGCCGAGGGTCCTCTGAAGTCCCCCACCCCGAGCCCGGGGGTCCCCCAAGCCCCGCACCTGTTGGCTGCGGTTCCCCGGCGTCCTCGGCTGCTGGTCCCCCGATCTTGCACCGGGACTTTGCCTCCCCGCCCCGAAGGCCGATCTCCGGGGACTGGGGTTGGAGGGGAGGGGGCCGGGGCAACCCTCTCCCAAGGATGCGCTGCCTGGGCTCTCTCGGCTGGGCGCGAGCGCTGGCTCCGACGCGGGCTGTGGCTGGGCGCGGGCTCCGCCAGGCTGCGCGCCGCGGAGAGGGGGGAGGCCGGGGCGGGAGGGGCAGGGAGGGGAGGGAGCCCCGGGCCGGTCTTGGCTGCAGGTCTCCCAACCCAGAGATCGGGAGGGAGATGCTCGTTCCTCCTCGCCCCAGACTTCAAGCGTCCATCCCACCTCCATTCATGTTTCCATCCGTTCATTCATACCTTTCGCATTCATTCAACATTTCTGCCTCCGGCTACTCTGTTTTCAGAACGCACCTACTGTGTGCCGGTGGGCCCCAGGTAGCTTTGAAGAGCCACAATGTAGAGGTGGATCCCAGCTTCACCTCTTCCCGCTGCCTCACCTAGCTGATGAGGATGAGGGCACAGGTGGGTCACTGCACCGCCTCCAGCCAGGCTCCGGCTGTTGCTGGAGCAGCTAGCTCCCAGCGATGCCAGAAGGCCCTGATCGCCCTTCTCCCAGCCTCCTGTTCCATCTGCCCTCCAATCCTTTTTGTTCATACCTACTTTCCCCCCTCCCAAGACAGGGACGGTAGGTGGGGGCAGGAAGGGGGGGCACCAGAAGGGCTGATGAATTCAACTAACATTTTCCAAGCTGTGTGCCAGGCAGTGAGCTAGAATAATACAGCTGCCATTTATACAGTCCCCACCATGTGCATAATCTCACTTAATCTTCACATCAACCCAGTGAGGCAGCTGTTACCATCCCCATTTCACAGATAAGGACCCTGGACTCACATGGTTCAGTGACTTGCCCAAGGTCACACAGCAGAGGCCGAGATGGGACTCAAACCTGCACTCTTCTCCAGGTCTACCTCCCCCCCACGCCAGACGGAGGCTGGCTGGAGCCAGGTGGGCTCACAAACAGGCAAGTCCTCTATAGAGAGGAGAGCTGCCAGGGGGCCCAGGAGCTGGGGGGCACAGGACAGATTGATCCAACCAGGGTGTCAGGACAGGCCTCCTACAGCAGGAACACACCAGAGACCTAAAGAATGAGAAGGAAGGCCTGCAGCCAGTGATTCAAGGCAAAGAAAACAACAGGGGCAAAGGTGAGGAGGTTGGCCCTTCCAGGAGTCACAAGTCGGTGAAGGGTGACCTTCTGAGCATCAAGCCATCACCTTGGCTATTATCTGTCTCAGGATGGGACCTTCCTAAAACATCAGATTCACCCTCCCCTTTGACCTTCGGAGAGTCACACCCCTTCCCTCCTGGGAGATGACTCCTGAGATGGAACTTCCATCTTCCCTGTTGCAGCCAAAGCCTTTTTCCAAAGGAGCTAGAGATGTACCATTAGGCACAGAGTGTGTGGGAGGGAAGTTGGGGCAGCCCAGGGGACGGGTCAGGGACCTCCTTCACCTGTCCAGGGCAGGAGGAAGGACTGAGGCTGGCCCTAGGGCAGAACCCTGTCCCTGGGTGGCATCCGCGCAGTGAGTGATGGGTCAGAGCATCCTTGCAGTAACAACACTCTGTCCTGCCTGCCCTAGGTGCTGGCAGAGGTAAGGGAATGGATCAGGGGACGTGTGTGTGTGTGTGTGTGTGTGTGTGTGTGTGTGTGAGAGAGAGAGAGAGAGATGGAGTTAGTGTCTGTATTTAGAAGTAAGGGCTGTGACTGTGTGTCTGGGGAATCCAGTGTGTTGCTGTGTGTGTGTTTGTGTCTCTGAGCCTGCATGTGGGTAGGGACAGGCTCTGGGCTGATGACTGGGGGGCATCCTGGGTGGGATATGTCTGTATGGGTCTTGATTTGTCTCTGTGTGTACTGGTGTTTGTGTCTGTGAGGGATGTGTGTGTGTGTGTGTGTGTGTGTGTGTGTTGGGGGGTGTCTGTCTCTCAGTGTGTCTGGGTGTGTGATTGTGGCTTTGACTAGCATTGGCCTCCCAGTGTGTTCTCTTGTGAGTGTGGGAATGTGAGTGTGGTGTGCCTTTGTGTCCATGGCTCTGCGACCGAGCGTGCGTGCGTGGAACTCAGTATGTCTGCCCCCACGGGGATGACTCATCTAATCCCCCACGTGAACCACCCCCCACCTAGAGCTGTGACTGTTTGCTAGGGGCTGGGAGGGGCCCGCGGCACACGCGGGGAGGGGAGGCACATAGCGCCGGACAGTCAAATGACAGCTGCAGCCGGCGGTGTGAAAGGTACAGACCCCTCTGTGCCTGTGTGGGTGGTGGGCACCAGCTGAGCTCAGCACAGACCAGGCTTAGAACCCAGCCCAGGGCTCAGAGTGCCATGATTCAAGGCCTCCCAGACACCCTGGGTTGGAGTGATCAAGCGGCTTCCCAGGTGCCCCCAAGTCATTATAATGGGGGTGCACCTGTCTGTGTGGGGACGGAGTCAGGCGGAGAATCCACCCCCACCCCCGCAAAGCCCAATGTCACAGAGCCAGTCCTGTCTCCCCTTAAGAGGATTCCCACTTGCCAAACCCTCTTTTCATCCCTTGGTACCCCAGAGATGGCTGCTCCCCAGGACAAAGAAACCTGAGTGATTCCTTATACCCTGAAGCAGCAGATAGTTTTTCCTCCCCTATCAGACCCTGGCCAGGGAGGAGGCTCTTGGTCCCCAGGTCCTGAGTCTGGCTCTCTTAGCCACGGCCTGAGAGTAGGAGAAGCCAGTTGTTTGTCCTCTGCGGGCATGGGGTAGAGACCCTGGTATGCCTGCTCAGAGAAAATCCTGGGGTCCCAAGGGGGCCAGTGACACTCCTGGAGACCCACAAGAAGCTGCAGTTACTTGGTTTGGGAGCTCAACAGCCCTGGACTCTGGGAGCTTCTGGCAAAGCATCTGTGCCCAGGAGAGGGACCCCAGTGACCTCATATCCTCCATCTCCAGGCTGGGCCCTCAGCCTGGCATCTCCTTCTCCCAGGGAGGGCCAGCCTGAAGCCCTTGCTTTGCCTGAGCTGAGGGTCAACCGAGACCACACGACCTCTTTCCTGGAACCAGCCAGCTCCAGCCTTGTTGATCTAATCCTGAGCCTCTGAGCTACAGGTCCCTGTCACATCCATCTTCAAGTGTCAGCCCAGGCACTGGCCCCAGGTGCTGCCTCCCCCTCCCTCCCAATTCCATCGTGACTTACAGTAACCTCTGTCTGGCCAGCACTAGAATAATCAAAATGTAATTGCGTTTTCAACTTGCTAACGGCTGCTACAGGCCCAGGATGGGGATGGGAACACCCCAGGCAGGAGAGAGGTGCTTCTTAGAAGAACAGAGATCAGAAAACAAGCAGAAGTGTGGGGTGGGGCGAGGTGTGGGCCAGCAGTGACTGGGCTGTGAGCCCAGAAAGGGGGATTCTGAGGGCTGAGTCCAGGCAAGCCACTGAGGCAACTGGGATGTTTTGGTCCTTGGGCCCAACAGTACTGGCCTCTGGAAGTTCCTGACAAAGTGCCGTGCCCACGGGATGGACTGAGGGACCTCATGTCCTCCATCTCCAGGCCAGGCGCTCAGCTTTTGTGCCCCTTGTCTTGGGGAGGGCTGGCCCTCCTTCAGGGTTTGAGTGGCTGGAAGGGAACCAACATCCACCAGGAGAATGAGGGGCCCAGGTCCCGAGGTCAGGCATCCTTGCTGGCTTCACAAGCTAGGGAGCATCTTCAAGCCAGAGGCAGGAGCTAGAGAGAAGGTGCTGGAGACAGCAGTCTTCTGTCTGCTCACTCACTCATACACCCACTCAACAAGCACTGGTGGCAGGTAGGTTGCAGAGCTGGGGTCCCTCCTGGTTAGGCTGGGGAGACCCCATGTAAACCTGGGTGGGGGTGGGTATCAAATGCATTAGAGTGGGAGCCTGTAGAGTCAGGGCCAGGGGTAGGATGGGGCTGGGACCAAAAACAGATAGTGCATGTGGACCCAAAGGAAAAACAAACAGACCCCTCAGCCTGTTAAGCCTAGTGTTGAAAGAAGGTTTGGAGCACAGGCTCTGGAGCCAGAAGGAGTTAGCGTGGGCTAGAGTCCTGGCTCTGTCGCTTATTACTGTGTGATCTTGGACTAGTCATTTCACTTCTCTGGTGGGCTGGGTCATGGCCCTCAAAGATATCCGTGTCCTAATCCCCAGAATCTATAAATGAGTTACAAGGCAAAAGAGGCTTTGCAGATGGGACTAAGTTAAAGATCTTGAGTTGGAGAGAGTATCCTGAGTTACGCAGGTGGGCCCAATATAATCACAAGGTCCTTATAAGAAGGAGGCAAGAGGGCGAGGAAGAGAAGATGTGATGACAGAAGCAGAGGTTAGAGTGGTGCCAATGCTGGAAGGGTCCACAAGCCTCTAGAAGCTGGAATAGGCGAGGAACAGAGTCTTTCCTAGAGCCTCCAGAAGGAATGCAGCCCTTCCAATTCCTTGACGTTAGCCTCATAAGACTCATTTTGGACTTCTGAGCTCCAGAAGCATAAGAGAAAAAAATTTGTGTTGTTTTAGGCCAATAAGTTTGGGGTAATCTGTTACAGCAGCAATAGGAAATCATACAACCTCTCTGTGCCTCATTTCACTGGTTATGAGACCAACAGGAACCTTCACCATATAGAGCTGTGTAAGGATTCACTGCAAACAGGCAGGTGTGCAGAGCAGCAAGTGCTGGGCACCAGCAAGACAGACAACCACACGTTCATTCATATGATATTTTAAAAATAATTTAGTATTTTTAAAAATCAGAGGGGTCTTCATGGGAAGAATCAGGACTTTGCCAGATATCCTTATGCTTATCCCGTTATTTGGTATTGTTTTTATTTTGAGTCATGTATTGCTGCTGGAGGCTGTTAAAAGATCCAATTCCTAAAATAATAAGTAATATTAGTAATAAACAATGATCATAGGAAATGTGTGCTGGTGTGGTTATTTCAACACAGGAACATACAAGGAGAAGCAAAAGAAGGAGATGCCTGATCTTCCTGGGAGGGGTGTGAGTGAGTGAGTGAGTGTGTGTGTGTGTGTGTGTGTGTGTGTGCAGACTGGGGGTGGGGAGCAAATTAACTATGACCTGGATCACCAGACATTTGAGGAAAATCTTAAACATGACACAGAAAAACCAAGATAAGCAAAAACGTTTCAGAG